TTAAATACTTGAAAATCAAAAATGTTAATAGATTATATCAAATTTCATCCACGACCTTGATCTAAAACACAAACATAGTTAATGAAACTAAATTAAGTTTATTGTATTTTGATTAGTCCGCAATCAACCCGGAGTGTATTCATGTCCCGAGGGCATCGATTGAGTAAAATTTTTAAACTCTACAAAACAATATGAACTTTATACTTAAACCGTTGGCATGTAGGCACTATTATTTAATTAATTTACTATTTACATAACAAAAAAAAAATCCAATTAATTTAAAGTTTAATACGAGTATAAAGTGAGGGAATATAAAATATGTATTAGGTATCTACCTATACTAAATTTAAGTATTAAATTTCACAAGCAACCTTTAATTCCAATTGTATTGTTTTTATTTTTACGAATTAAACCTTTTATTGATAAATACTTACTGACTACTGGTATATATGACTTAAAGTTTAAAATATTCATTAAAATATGTATAACAAACGTGTACAAATATAAAATTATGTCCTACTTCTCTTTTTCATTATGATTTTAATGCATTACTATAGATTTTAAATCCTTCTAAAATATACTATCATAATAATAATTATTTTTGGCGTAAGTTTCTTTTGAACTATTATTTTCTGATACATTTAAATATTTTTATTTATCAAACAACTCGCAGTGACATGCATTTTAAGTTATTTAACAATATGAGTTAATCAGTAAAAAAAACCTGTATTCAAATTTAAAATTAATTCTCCTAACCTAACCTTGGCCATAAAAACATAAAATATATGCGTTAATTAATCAAAATGCTTAGAACGCAAAGGTCCAATCAAAAACTATATTAAACCGTATAAAGAATCTCATTAAGTTGTATTGTTCAATAAAATAACAATAAAAATGACAATATTTAATATAATCAAAGTCACATTTTCGATTCAAGAAAGTTCATATAAAATGTAAACCTATATAATGAGAAAAGCTCACACAGATTGTATTTTGCTCTCAAATTCGATTTTATTGTCAACATTTTAATACCACAAATTAGATGTTTGCATCTACATAGTTATATACTAAATAGGATAGAAAAACAATGTAAAACATAAAATTAAGATATTCTGATGTTTTGTTAGACGTGATTTCGTTAACCTTAAAATATTATGTTAAAATATTAAAACAATGCCTTTAATTACGATTTTTAATTTGTATACATTATACAATGTAACTTTGTTTCCATTAAAAGTGAGCACCACATATCGTAATCAAAAATTTTAAATAAAGTAAAACTTTTATGTAAGCATGCTTGTTTGACAGATATTTTATGGTAAAACAGAATATCTATAAAGTTGTCAAGATCCTAAAAAGGTGTTTGTGTAAAATTTTTCTTATTTAGTATTATTCTTCTGCCATAAACAAAGGTCTTCTTGCAGAACTATTTTTATGTATTATCTTTAAACGTTTATAATTGATGTTAGCATTAATTTTAATTCATGTTTTCTTTTATACATAATATTAGGCCCAAAACATTAAAACGAACATTTGGCTTACCGTATAATTCATAGTTCATATATTATATGTATTTCCATCACATTTTTATGTCTTTTTTAAACTAATGAAAATTTGTAAATTTTTTTTTACCATTTATACGATTTGATTTGAATAAAACAACTGCTGGTTATTTTGATCGTCAAATCATCATATTCTAGAATATAAAATCTAGATAATATAAAAAAATCCAATCAATTTTTGTCACATAATATAATACGGAACTACTTCAAAATTGGAAAGTAATACATTTTGCGGGCTATGTGAAGTGTATGTATTATGATTGCAATTACCCAACACTTTAGTGACGCAATTAGACATCGTGATTTAAAAAGGAGATGTGGAGTAGCCATTTAGAAAATAAATCATACCAAAATGTCATAAACTAGAAAATTTATTATCAGTATAATCGAATTTTATTTACATAAAATTCTTAATAAGTTTGAGCACGGCTTAAGATTGTTATGGATCCATGTATTATTACATAACTGCTACATTATAATATTTTCTCTGTGATCAACGTGTATCTTATAAGCTTATTCTTAATGCAGTATTTTTTATTTAATATTTCAATAACATAGCATAAAATTAATTACCATTGTGCACTTCAATTTTTAATGTATAAACTCATACCACATACGGAGTTATAATTAAAACGTTATTACTTATTGTAATATATGTGGGTCGAATTTCCAACATAAAGTTAAATTGTAACTATATTTATTTGGCACGTATACCGTAGCAGACGTATACAAGTAATCGAAGTTTAATTTATAATTTATACTAAATAAATCAACTTACAATTACTTTCGTAGTGAAAACGGTCTTAAAATTAATAATACTATTCGATAGAGAATTTATACAGATATATCATAAATGTTTGTATGATGGACGCACGATTAAAACCACAGCTGCAAAATACTCGTAAAAATATTATTTTTGTAAAATATATCCACGATGGAATATATATAGTATTCTACATAGTGGATCTAACAATCTTAATGGTTAGTATAGCTATTTGATGTGTAAACTTTCGAAAGGAACAATATTATTGCATTGTTTTTTTTTTTTTCAAATATATAAGATACATAATAAGAGTACTAAATAATGAGAATAATAACTATCATTAATATTATATCATTTGAATACTAAATTGTTGCAATTGGTTTATATTGTATGCATTGTAATTATACAATAATACGGCGATTTGCGAAATAGCATTCGAGAAATAAAATGTCATCGCTAAACATACATGTGTTAACTTTTAAATCCACGGGTAATATTTAAGTTAAAATTAATTTCCCGTTAACAGATTGTGGAGAGTTTTAGCTCTAACACTACCAAGCGCAATAGTCGTTAGTTTTAAATGGTAACAAAACTTAAAAAAAGTTTCTGTTCCATAAGCATGACCATGACATGGCGAGGCGATCTTAAACTGTCCTATATTATCGATAAGAGTGAACACTTTTAAAAGGTATATATACATAATGCTTTTGTATAAAAAAAAATTTATTATTGTTTATTGTTTACAAAAAAAAAAGTAAAAACCCAATAAAATTCCTGTATAATATGACCGACCGATTCATTGACCAGTCATTGCTGATGACGCGGTGATTAGGTACGATGGTTATAAATTATACGTAATCGAATATAAGTAATATAATAACAAATTCCTATTTAAAACGATCACACGCCACTAATCTAAGCTTACTAAACCTAAAACTCAAGCGTAATAAATACACAGTACGCGTTTAAAATAGTGATCTCAAATAATTAAGTAAGAAATAAAAACTGTTATTCACAATACACTAGAACTAATGATATTTTTGAATTATTACAAAAATCATGATACGCGGTTTATAGTATGTTATTTACGGTGTTCATCATATAATTATATCATTTATATCACAAATTCAGCGATTAAACATTCATAATTATTATCATTCTCTTGATCACTTTAAAAATTCGTATGTTATAATATTTATACACATAAATAATTACACACACATAAATTGGTTTATGCGCAAGATATTTAACGTTAATACACTAATACTAAACATAAGTATTATAATAATTATCAAAACGGAAAAATTATATACAATAACTCGGTTTATTTGATAATTATTACAAATACACCATCATTACTATTACTAATCGTTATTACCGAGCTCAATCAAATATCTTAAAACCATTATGTTTAATACCACAGAAGTAAATAGAGTCAGTCTGCAGATCACTATATCAACTACCCAATAGTATCATAATCAATCGCTTTGCTAATGTTTATTTTGACCATCTCTGTTATAATGTAATAAGATGTAATGACCGATTTATTCACGATTTCACGAGTATTATTAGGCGAATGAGGAATTGAAGATGTAAATATTATATATTTACATATAAAATAATCAAAGAAAAATAGTAAACAATCTTTAAAAAGTTGAAAGGGTTTAATTTTTTGCATGATAAATTACACGCTTTTTATAGCACTATTCGTTTTTTTTCATTTAGTGATTCATTTTCTCGATACCTTACATATTAAAAAAATTATTAAGAATTATTTTCAAAATGTTTTAATTGAAAAATCTCGACGTCGAGGCAATACACGCTGTAAATAGGCAATCCCTAAATGACTTTCTGAAACGTTTAAAATAGTTTTTTTATAATGACGACTACGACGAACATGCCGTTCAAAACCAATATTTGCATAATACATAATAAACATTTCTGGGTATCACAATCAGCGTAACTGGAGAGGCAATGCAGCTGGAGTGGAGAGACCGATTCCATTCAATAGACGTTTTAATCACCCCCCCCCCCCTCTCAAAACATTGGCATTTAAGCCAAGTCCTTGCAAAATCATACGTTCAATGTGTATAATAATTAATAATTAAAAAATTCACATAATTATGTAAATCATTGTGTAAAATATAATATATAATTATTTTAATAGGTATGTTTCGGATGTATATGTGATTATTGGTTTTCACAGTTTTCGTTAAAACGATCGTAACGACGACGCAACGCACGACAATATAAAATATGATTGGTTATTTATTTTTATGAGAAAAATTAAAACGTTGGTACAACGATATTATTACCTATCGTTTAAACCAGTGTTTCTCGACCTTTTTACCGTGGCCATCTTCCAAATGAATGTTCAATTTTTTAGCGACCCCTAAACACATATTTTATAGACGCGTACATACACATTACATAAACGTCGCCGACCTCTAAGGGAGTCGGACCCCCCAGGTTGAAAAGACGATTTAAACAACGCGCACGGTGTTCGAATTTCGTCGCGATCGCGGTTTCGCCTTCCAAAATTCCAACCCGCCTCATTCTCAACCCATTCATCCACCGCCCATAAACGCGCGCAAAACGGGTCGCTCGAGATAGAGTTTTGGTGACTCCGTTCAGTCAATAACGATTTTCATTTTGTTTTGCTCTGTTTCACGCAGGAAAACGACAACGGCGACGACAATGTAACGGCGACCGTGTACGACTACTGCTGAGCTGACAACGAAGTTGGCGGCGGCTGCGGACACACTAACGCGCCGGACACGACGCTCGCGCTGACTCAACTGCGGTTAACCGACTGAAAACGTGCTGCGGCCCCGATGGCAGGGTACTCAAACGTCATGCCGCTGACGACCAGCTGGCCGCTGACGGAACCGCAGTCGGCGTACAACGGCACCGACGCGGGCCCGTACGGCAACGGCACCGGCGGCGACAGGGACGCGCTGTACTGCGACGACATGTCCGGGCACGAGTCGTCGCTGTACCTGATATCCAAAATCCTGTACGTGATCGTGTGCGTGATCGGTCTGGTGGGCAACACGCTGGTCATATACGTGGTGATCCGGTTCTCCAAGATGCAGACGGTGACCAACATGTACATCGTCAACCTGGCCATCGCCGACGAGTGTTTCCTGATCGGCATACCGTTCCTGATCGTCACCATGTCCATGGAGTTCTGGCCGTTCGGCAACGTCATGTGCAAGGTGTACATGACCACCACCAGCGTCAACCAGTTCACCAGCAGCATATTCCTGATGATCATGAGCGCCGACCGGTACATAGCCATATGCCACCCGATATCGTCGTCCAAGGTGCGCACCGCGTACGTGTCCAAGATCGTGTCGGTGACCGCGTGGACGTTCAGCATCATACTCATGATACCGGTCATCATGTACGCCAACACGATGGACAAGGGCAACGTCAAGAGCTGCAACATCATATGGCCGGAGAACGACCTTTTCAGCGGGCAGACCGCGTTCACGCTCTACTCGTTCGTGCTCGGGTTCGCCATTCCGCTCATGCTCATATTCGTCTTCTACATACTGGTCATAAGGAAGCTGCAAACGGTCCGTATACATTGCATAAACGGTTTATTTTGTATTTGCATTTAACAAGTGTGCCTATCTTTAAACGGTAATACATACTTCGTTGCGTGCCTACGGACGTATCGACCGAACTGCGAAAAGCGCAGCGTTTACAGGTGTACCCGCCCCCCCTCCCAAACGGTGTGTGCTACGCGTGTCGTAGACCGCGAGTTATGAGATCAAAATAAAAAATGTTCCAATAAAAAACTCTGGCGAGAGAGGTCTTGTCGAATATCCGGGCGTTAAATTATGAGATATGGTATTATACGTATGGATCGGCTGGGTGATTCTTTTGTCGACTTGTACTTCATATTTTTTCGAAAACTATTAACGTTTTATGGAAAGAATTTTATTTTGCACGATTTTAAGCCGTTAAAAACGACAATTTCGAAAACAAATTATGTTTTTACCATTTTTTATCGTTATAATTTACCAAGATTTTATTTCGTTCTTAATGAATTTCAGTGTTTAAATTTAATTTCAGTTATGAAATAATTCACGTTAGATACATATAGTGCAGTGTATGTGCACGCAAATGTTATAATGTGGTCGTTTATAATAACTGCAGGACTTTTTTCAATTTTTTTTATCGGTCTATAGTTTATAAATGTAATTTTAAAAGTCGCCTGAGCATACAGTACCAATCACACACACTCGTGTGGCTAACCACGATTTAACCATATACTCATATTGATATTACATGATTTTACAACACGCATTTATGATGTATTAATGATTGTGTCATAAAATATAAGACTCGTTTTTATCCAAATATAGAGTACCGTACAGAGTATTGTCGGATGTATAACTGCAGGCCAGTAGGCTCGCGATTATAACGTGATGTCGCAGTAGTGACGTACGTTTCTCGCAAGATAAATTTTCACGCCCCGCCGCCGCGAATAGAGTATATTATTTTGCATACAACTTTCCGCAGTCGTTAAACGTGCATAGTAATTTCGTCGGCGGATACACACGTACAACGATATAATAATTGTGTCAAAACCACTACGTGCGTTTACGTTGAAAACATTCTAATTTAATATTTACGAAATTTCGCAAACGTAGGTACAATAACAATAAGATCACGAGAAATGTCGTGCGCGCGTATTTGCGGATTAACTATAAGCACTTAATTCTTTACCATTGCCAAAAATATAAGATTTTCGTATAAGTTATTGCAATTTTGTTATGATTTCTCGTAATTGTAATAATAATAATAATATGACAGTATGACATAACCACTGCACGTTCACACGAATTATTACACCTGCATTCTGCAGCCGCCTTAAGTAAGAATTGACGTGCGCATTATACCCAATATTTCAGACGAGAAAAATAAATTATAATTTCGATAAAATAAACGAAATTGCGATCCGTCAGTTTTTGATGTAGGTATTTCAGTGTTATTGTATTTAACTTAATAATAACATACGAGTATTATAGCGATAACGATAGTATAATGTACATATAATAATATGGTATATACCTAATATAAACCATAAATATTTTTTCCAAAGTAGTGATATGATGTAATGACTAATGAAAAGTTGTTCATAACAAGGGAATAGAGTATGTTATTATTAGTAAGTAATTTCATAACTTTTGCATATGTTTCATCAAAGATTAACGCTTTTTCGGAAAGTCAAAAGTTTCATTAGATGCCGCTCTACATACAATAAATTGTACTTCAGATGATATCAAATTCACCAATTGTTTCACAAAAAAAAAAAAAAAACGCTAAAGGAACAATGGCACTGGTTTTAGTTCGCTCCCCTCATCACTGCAGTATAAGTATGCAACTATATGGTGTAGATGATAAATTAATGCGTTTAAAAAAACTTCGCTTTTAGATTTTTCTTTAAAACTGTGATTTCTGCTTGCATTATTTCTTGACACGTCAACAGTTGACGAAAACTTTTTAACACGAGAAAAAAAAACCCAATACTACTGAATACTGTTACTGTAGAGTTGCAATAGGTATACGCGTTTCTCACTCCGCTCAAAATCCATAAAATATGCAAATAAAAACATCGGTTTTTATTGAACGCGTTAGTGTGTTGCACCCGCCATTGCGACAGAGCTTGTTAGTTTGTACCTGTTATGCAGTATAATATAATATTTCACCATATGTTTATTATATTGGCTGTACGTGTGACGTGTGTATGCTGTAATTCAACACTCAAACATTACACGGTGAAACGGTTTAAAAAAAATTACAAGTTATACGTGCCGAACACAGCACACATTACGCTTGTCGCGTTCTACTCAAATGCATAAATTATAACCTATTTATATTGTGATTCACCGATAGATATTAAAACGTACACTTACGCAAATAAAGTAGTGTGCAAAATATAAATCAAATCACCGCCACGTCCGATAAAAGTTATAACCCAACAGAATTGCCGTGCGCGTTGCGACAGGACATTCAGATGTCACCTATCGTAATAAAAACGAACTATTACACGAAGCACCAGAAGCATAAAATATATCGTTAGCAGTTTCATAAACTGCATTAGCTCATACTCGGTAGCTGTTTTTCATTCTTCGCGTGTCGAAAACATAAAATTTCTGATGGCCATTATAATATTATACTGCCGATAGAGGTAGTCACTTCATATGTGCCCGCGCGGCCGCCCGTGTGAAATCTATACAATTTCAAACCAAGTAAAAATTATTTCCCTATTTCGTGTTATATATTATTACTATGGGTTATTTGAAATAATTCATTGTTACGTATCAAATAACAGTACAAAACAAATAAAAACCTCAAGTAATATTATGCAATAACTATATATATTATATAATATATAATATATAATATATATATGTCGTACGTCTTACTGAAAATATAATATTACACACTAGGTAGGTATCTACTATAGGTGAATTATATACAAACATGCTGTATACCTACTACTTACTGCATGCCAACACGTTACAAATACTAAATTATTAGAAACTAGATCGTTTTGAAATATTTTCAACTATTCAATAATCGAATAAATTGTTTAATATGATTAAAATTTATAAATATACAAGGGTACAAAAATTTACATTAATATCGTTCATGATTCAGTCGACTTTTAAATGTTTTCATCAACTTGTGTATAGTCTTTTGTTTCTTTTAGTGCATTTAATAAATGTTTAATTAAAAGATATGGAAATTCGCCATTTGCTAAACTCACATTATAAATTAAAATATAAATGGCAAAAAAACCAAACAGTTATTACTTGTCTTCAGAAGACCAACTCTTACGAGTATTTGCACGTTTCTATGTCCGACCGATGTTGCCGAGTATCCAATCAAGTATATTGAATTTTTAAGTTACTCAAATAATTTCAAAAATATGTTTCAAAAGTAATTTTGAGTATTTATACAATTTTAACAAAAATATTTATTTTTATTTTTAAATAAAACTTATAACCTACGCTCTTGTATTCTAAAATTAAATTCATGAAAAATGTATTAAAATTAGACGGTGGTTTGGTGGTTATAAATCCAACCACTATATAATATTATGATATGATATTATGACCGATAATCAACTAAATGTATTTTCAGCCATTTATCCTTATAATCAATATAAATATTTTATCAAATACAATATCATTAGAATTAGTAGTTTTATAAACCGATTTTACAAAGCACTCTGATTGACTAATGCTTTATAAAATAACATTTAATTTCATAGAATTTACATGCAGGTAATTATATATATGAATTTTTATTTAAAATTGTTTTTCAATCAATTATAGTAATATAATTAAATTAGATACTTATTAATATCAGTCTTCTTCAAACATCATAATTCAAATTTAACTTAAAAATAAAAATATCTTACTTTATTTATAAACTGATAAAAAATGGTTAGGTAGTTGGTTGTTGAGTTTGGAAATTGATCCTTATTTATCATTGAATAAAATATTTAGAATTAAAAATAAATACTATAAATATAAATGAATAAACTTCTTGGATATTTTAGTTTAAAATAAATAAAGAAGATAATATTTAAAATTAAAATATACCATTGACAATATATAAACAATACACGTAATGCAAAACCCATGATGCGTAATAGTATCTACATACATACAAATTATTTTCTTTCATAAAATATTTCAAATTAACAAAAAATAATTTAAAGCGAAAACTGAATCCAACCCCAATCTTAGAATTAATTTTAAGCGAAATGTTACAGTAGGATTAAACATATTACATACCTAGCATTAAACGTCTTTAAAGCGCTAGAAAATAAACATATGGTCAGAGTTGATTATAAAAGGGTTTTTTTCACAAACAGTATATATGTTTAGAATTATTTTAGTGAGTATAAAATCTAGTCAGGCTGTCTACTCTTTCGACTATAAAAGCGTCAACCAGATAATTATGTTAAAGTTTTGCTTGTCGGCGCAAATGAAACAAAATAATATGTAATGCGAGAAATATTTACGGTTTTAGTATATAAGTAGTAAGTACCTGCTATCTATTATGTACCTCGTATGTTGCTATGTAACTGATGTATACGCATGTGCTAGGATACATACTAATATGATCGACACACAAATCCGAAATTACTTTATAATTAAGTACAAAAATACTCCACCTAATCTCATACATTTTCTCAATATCACTTGCAGTACCTATCTGAGTTCTTCATACAGTATGTACTCGATATAGGTACTCGATACTCGATCAATACCCAAATTTAAATTTTATTATATAAATATGTATAATTTTTCTAATTCTCAATTTTATGGAATAATAATCCCTAATAGTGAATAATCGTAATTTATAAAAATAGCGAAGAGAAAAACATATTTTTTACCTAATGTTTTATAATATTATAATAATATTTAATATATATATATATATATTATGTATTTATATACACGCCATCTCTTAATAAAAAATAAATCTTCTAACAAAAAAAGTTTTGACGTTTTCAGTTTAATATTCAAATTTTTTAAACTAAACGGTA